AGTTACATAGGATAGAAATAGTATACTAAAAATGTATTTTCTCTTCTGTATTGGAGCTCTGAGTTTGATGCATTCAGGTATTTCTATACAGTTAGAAAAGGACCATACTATTGGCAGAAATTAACTAGGTACTAGTTTATTAGAACTTTATTTCCCTTTTGTGATTTTAGGTTTTTGTTTAATTTTAAATATGATTTGAATGTAGGTGTTTCCTTCAATTTGTTTGGTACATATAGTCCTATTCTCAGAGCCTAGCCAGGAACTCAGGATCCTATATATCATTTAGCAAGCTGTTACCCAGTATTTCCCATCTGAGAGCAACTGAGTTACTAGCTGTTCCTTAGAGATTCACCAAAGAAAATTTGTTCTTAAGAGAACTAAAAGCTGCAACTTGAAACCCAGAGGATGCACAGAATTTGGTCTCTTGCAGGTGTCCCTAGTTGATATACGATATAGAGATCTTTTTTTGAGAAGTGGCATGGATAAAACTTTCCTACCTGCTGGATTTATAGATAAATTCTACTTTAACAACTGTTGAGAAGGAATGAACTTTAGTACAGGACATTTAAGATGTAATTGCCACCAGAAATCTACCAGAATGGCAAATAGTTCCCTTGAGTCTATAATTAAACATTTAAATGAATGTATTTTCATGTACTTAATACTTTCTTAAGAGAGATCTTTACATACTAGATAGTATTTTCTGACTTTTCTTTATCCCGTCAATACAGACTACTACAAGTATATTGTAGTCTGTGGGCAAGTATGAGAATTGTTCAAAGTATGACAAGCTCTGCTGGCCAGCTTTCTGACCAGGCACATGCCTAACAGATAGCCTGTAAGTAGTTTGGAGGATTGACTCAGCTGCTGTATGTTTTGGCGATGTGAAGCTGTTTGTAGTCAAAAAAGTAGGCTCTGGCTGTGTTTTCAGGCTTGTTGTCTATACAAGTAACATATAATCTTGAAAGCATCCTTAGGATGACTCATTAAGATCCACTGTAAAAATACTCTAGGGTGCTTTCCCATTGCTATATATGAAGAAGGAGTAAATGAATAATATTCGAAAGTGATCTTGATAAAAAACCAATGAAGAACCTCCAAGTAGAGACTTGCCAGTCCATCACTGCCTATCTATTTTATGTGGGAGAGGGCTGGTCGATGGCTTCCTGTGTGCACGTTTGGGAGTTCTCCTTTTTCTTTAAAATATGTTCTCTACTTCAGTTGCTGATGTTCATTTTCAGCATATGGGGACCATTAGCAATATTGAAGCTGGACATAAGGCTTAACGCGTTAAATCACTTTAGAATGTTGCATCTGTTTTTTCACCCTAGTGTTAACACCTGGATCAGTTTAGCACTAGCGCAGAAGTTTAGAACATATATAGCTGTTAATTTTAAAAACATCTGGGATTTTTTTTTTGTGTGTGTGCATTTATATGTACATGTGTGAACTGCTGGATCTCTGGCATTTTTGAGTTTGATGAACAAAATCTTACTGAATTGTGCTCAAGGTGTGTACCAACCTAGGCAAATAAGTGGTTTATGGCAGGAGGCAAAATGATTCTTTCGAGTGGATTAGATATTTTGATTTTGCCTTTACAGCTTTTGTCTTTCTTCAGACTTCCATTTCTGAAGAATTGATAGCTGACTCTGATTCCTTCCCCCGCCTCTCCAAACCCATCCATTTGTTGTACACTGAATAAGATATCCCATGGGATGCATGAAATGGGCAGGCATTAAAAATGGAAGAAAGCAAGTTCCCTGACTGAGTCTGCAACCCTTATCTGAGGCTGCTTGAAAGTAAAAATGCCAGTTGTGTTGGAGCTTTGAAAAATGACTTTCCCTGGTGACCTGCTGCCTTTTAGCGAGAGCAGAGTTTACGACTCTGTTTAAGAGTGATGAGTGCAGTTGGAGAGTTTCTCTTGTTATGCCCATTAGCAAGATTGGAGTAATCTGCAGGATGTAACCTGGAGGTAAACTGTGAGTGAAGGAGAAGACAAGGCTAATAAGGCGTTTTGTAGTTTCCTTTATCCCAGAGTCTTTCCTGGAGCCAGCAATTAATATTATTTTCTATCTGCGGAGAGCCCAGGTGGCTGCCAGTGTGGGAGGCTTTACAAAGGACACGTCAGTGCTACCTGCCAGGTTGTGAAGAGGGACTGCTTTCAAAATTGCCATTGAAATTGGCGACTAAGCATCAATACTGCAACAGAGTTAACAGCTTGTTAATTTAGTAATTAAATAAAAACGAGGCCTTGCCCCAGCCAGGAGCTGGGGAGCCAGGAGTGAGGGGGGCAGCCCCAGCCCCAGGCATTGGGTACCTCCCTGGGGCCAAGGCCAGGCAGGGAGGTCGGCCTGCGGGTGGGCCCATGGCCGGGCTGGGCTGTGGGGAGGTGGGGGCTGGCCCTGCTGTGGTGATGTTGGGGCAGGGGCTGACGGCCCTGGGCGGCTGATGGCCCCGCGGGGCTGACATGGGGTCCTGGGCCCTGGGCAGGGTGAGGGAGCTTCGAGAGGAGGGGGGTCAGGGCTGTCAAGGCTTATTAGTGCCCTCAGGGCCCTGACATGAGCCATTTAGTACTATTTATTCTTTTATTTTGTTAGATACAGAGCTTGTATTTCTTTCCACTTCACAGAGATAAACATTTCACTTCATGTTTTTCTTGCCAGTGCTTTTAGACAGCTGGAGTGGGGATGCAGATGGGCACAGCCCCAGCTGGTTATGCGTGGGCTGACTCAGCCCATGGGCTGTTTCTGTCTGACCTGCAGTGATCGTGTCCAGGGTCTTGTCCTTAGTATTACTGAGACCTTGTTCGCTTGTACTTTTGAGGGCAAAATGACACAGAGCTGCCTGGCTCTGATCTCTCAGGTGCTCATATTCCTGCATCCTCCTGCAGAGTCAAGTCTAATGTTGATCAAGTGTGGTTTTTCTCACATTATAAAATGTGAAACAGAGTAGTTGTTGAATGTTAACAAGCAACCTATGCAAGACTTGTTTCTTTGCTGTAAGACATCTAGCTTTGCTCTTATATTAGACTTTTCTAATAGCCCAAAGCATTAGCTACACTTTTTTTTCTTTTACTCTTAAACATTTAGCAAAAAAATAACTATATGGAAAGAACTTTTAACTTTATTTAAAATTTTGACTCCTAGAGAATAGAACATTTGACCTGACTGAACCACTGAGTAAGCTGCAACTAGCACCTTCATGCTGACTGGCATGTACTAGAATCTGTTGCCTTTACATGCATGAAAAACTAAGAGTGTTTCAGAATTGCCTACTGAAATCTGTAGCAAAATACAGGGTGATCCATACTGTATCTTCAAGTCTTTTGATTATTTTTGCTGTGTTGGTTTGTGTTTTTTTTTTTTTAAATTTTTAATATGAACAGGACTGAACAGGAAAGGATCCAAGTTGCATCATCAAATTTACTGCTAAGACTGTAAATAAAATTTGACTGAATTAATGCCTTCAGAATGTCCAATAGGTTTCTTTATGATTTGGAGAAAAGCAGTTTACATTGGTGGGGAATAGTCCAATATGAGTACGTACTGCATGAAAATAATTGGCTTAGAGGGAAAGGGCTGTACTCTTATCTTAACAGTTGCAGCAGCGTAATATGTAGTTGCTGTATACAGGTGTACTGATGGCTGCACTTCTGTTTGTTCTTTTTTTTTAAAGTGGTTGCATGGCTTCAAGTATTGGAAATGGCCACATTTGCAAAAGATATAATAAAAGCTACCATTTCATGGGAACGACCTCTGCACCATCTAGGCTCTTTGTAGCAGAATGCTCTGCCTCAGGGGAGGGCAGTTGGACTGGCAATATTACTGCCAGTTATTTTCTTAGTATTTCCCCAAGAAAAACCACTTTTGCAGTTCAAGGTTTCAACTAAATTCAGACACCTGATAGCCTTTGTTAGCGTTTGGGAGTCTGTACTCTAACATACTACATTTTTCTCAGATAAAGGACTCTTTCTAGCCTAACACCTGCTTTATTCTTGCTGAATTCCTAGTTTTCTGATAGTGCTTCTGAGAGTGATACTACAAACTGAAATCACAAACAGAAGAATTAGATTTCAGGAAAGGACTACACTGAAGGACAAGATAAATAATGTGAAAACAAAGATCTTGTTTTCTTCCAGTGTTCTTTTGTGACTGGAGTAAAATGAGAAAAATGTGTGTGGGGTTGGGAAAACAAATATAAGCAACCCGATCCACTGCATAAGCAGAAGTCAAAATGAAAATTTTCAAGTATTCTAGAAAGCATCATCAAGTCTTTAAAGGATTTAAGCTGACCTCTCCATAACCTCCATATGCTCAGAGACAAAAGGACATGCCGAGAGGAAGCATGTCTGAAAGCATTACAGCAATGTGCTCTGGACAATGGAAATGCTGAGCGGCATGGTATTTAGAGTATTTGCATGGAGATTCTGTGGCATAGTATATCATCAGCGTTTGAGCATTTTTCTTTACAGAACAAGACAACATTCCCCAAACTAATACCATTTTAAAGAAAAAAGGGATTTGGATACAGGTTCCAAGGGAGTGGAGAATGTGAGGGGAGTCCTGGAGCAGTGCATTTCAAACACAGGCCTGAGTTTCACACCTTTTTTTTTTTTTTCTGTTCCTCATCTGAATTGGAAAATTGTTAATTATGGCAAGATATTTATTGGAAAGGCAGAAAGAGGGAATGAGTAAAGAATTAGATATAAGTAATCTCTCTTGTTCAGAATTTTTAATAAAAGAGTCTTGAGCTGGATGGATTCTTAATTACCCTGGTAAAATAAATACTAAATGAGTTAGGCTCAGTAGTAACAACAATGCATCTTTAAAGAATTGCTTAAATGCAATTTTGATTATGAAGGCAAGTAACTAATTAAATTCTAGTCATCTTTTTGAGCTAAGCAGGTCTCGCACCTTCTCCCACAGCATAAATTTTAAATGCAAATGCTTGGATTTGTACAAACAGTATAGCGGACAGACTTTTACACTAGCGAATTAGACATGGAGACTGCTAATGGCTGGCACCAGTCCTTGCCAGGGTGGTTGGAAACGTAAATGCTGAAAGCTGCAGCATTATTATTTTTTTTTTCTCCAATCAAGCTGGTACAGACTTGAATTCATTATCTAATACAACCTAAAAATGTTTTTTTCTCAATTGTAGATACAAGAAATTTAAAGAGAAGGTATATTTTCATCTGTAAAATATTCTGCTGACTGCCTCCAGCAAGGTGTTAGCAGAAAATGTTATCAGTCAAAATACGTATGAGACAGTTGTGGGAGTGCCTCATACAGCACCAGAGATTTGTGTGCTCCTACCGACTTCTGTATTTATTGTTCATCCATGTTGGTGAGATTCATTCCAACATCTAAATTAAAATTTCAGTATAAAAGGTCAGTTGGGGTTTTAGTTCTGAATTACTGGAGGATCCGTTGTTTCAACAATAATGTTTGTCAGTTTTTCATATTTCTTTTACATTTTAATTATAACTCATCAAATCTTAACCGATTACTCCTGGGTTAGACTCAGAAGAATGTCACTGAAGGGTGTTTTAATTTAATCGAAGCAGCGTAACATCTGTTTCTAATGTTTTAAAAGCCAATTTATATGGAAATTTTGCTTTAGCGGGGAAGTCAATAGATACGCAGTTTTCTAACACCTCCTGTAAAAATTCAAAACTTGAATTAAAGCAGCATCAAAGCAATGCCATTCTTTCTTGTGGTAGCAGTGTGACTGCATTTTCACAGCCTTTCATTTGTACCGTTTTCCTTCTGTTGAAATGAAGTTTTTATTTGTCTTTTGTAGTCGAGCTATCAAGACAAACCAGGACCTTCTGCCCGAGACACCATGGACCCATATCTTCTACAATGACTTTTGGGGGACACTGCTCACTCACAGTGGGAGCCACAAGTCCTACAGACCTCTCTGCACGCTCTCCTTCCGTATTAACCATGCTGTTGGAGGGATGGACCCATGGGGCTACCACCTTGTAAACGTCCTGTTACATGCTGCGGTCACAGGCCTTTTCACAAACTTCTCCAGGATCCTGTTTGGGGATGGGTACTGGACCTTGATAGCAGGCCTGCTGTTTGCATCTCATCCCATCCACACGGAAGCCGTAGCAGGGATCGTAGGGAGGGCAGACATTGGAGCCTGCCTTTTCTTTCTGCTTTCCCTGATGTGTTACGTGAAGCACTGCTCTACCAGAGGTTCCTCTCCGAGTACTTGGGGCTGGATCTTGGGCGCAGGGCTGTGTGCGGGGTGCAGCATGCTGTGGAAGGAGCAAGGAGTGACTGTTCTGGCCATTTCAGCCGTGTACGATATCTTTGTATTTCATCGACTGATATTCCTGCTTTATACAAGGTGAGTCTTCTTTCCTGTAAGGTATTTGTAAGGCACCAGTCACTGTTAAACAGGTGCTAAATGAGTTTTCAAGTACACAATAATTCTTAGTAGTTTAGTCAACTCCTAAAAATAAGCACAGATGTCTAATGGCAAAAGAACGTTTAAAGTGGTTTAGTATGGGGTTTTTACATTTTGTTTAAACAATGTGTTGTTATCCATTGCTATTGCTTGACACTGGGGATGTATTTCTTTCAATTACTTTTCTTGCTTCTACAGCTCTCTCCTCATTCTGTTTACCGTGGACCACTGGATATCTGTCTGCCTTTTGCAAAGAATACATTCATGCTCTTATCGTCTTGTATCTTGCAAACTCAGTTTAGTTTGGTCGAGCGTGCAAGTGCGGCAGCTGTTATCATCTGCAGACTCCCTGAGGCAAAGATAGAGCTCTTATTGTTCTAGTTTAACAGAGATGCATAGGACCTGGGTGCATGCCTTTTGGCATGTGTTTTTTCTCACCCTAGTAGGAGCTATGATTTAAATGTATTATTGCCTTAACAAAATAAATATTTCTCATTTTTTAACTTCTCACCCAAGAACAAACAAAATAAGCAAACAAACAAGCCCACCAAACCCCCCCAACTTCCCTCTCCCAAAACCGCATGTATTGTAGTGGTATGGAGAAACCCCAGCTGAAATCAAGACTCTTTTCCATCAGTGGCTGTAGAAATGAGTAAGCTGAATATATGTAATTTTATTTTCAGTGAAATGGCTTTCTTTCAGAAAACTACTGATTTAACAAAAGGAAAATGTTTCATAGGGACACGTGTTGTCACATTCTTCAGTGAGACATAACTAAGAAAAGCAATAAAACAAAATACAGCTTTACAGTCTGTCTCAAACATCGTGATTTTAAAATTTTGATTTCTCACTCAAATGAAAAGAGACTGTAGATTTTGATAAAGAAGTGGTGGTTTCTGCTTGTAGAGAGTATATATCTGTGGTATACAAGGAAAATAGTAGAGTCAAAAAACCAAGTTCTCTGGTAGTTCCCTCTTAAACTGCTGTGATATGTTGACTTAGTTATCATGAACTTTTCTGACAAAACTGAAAAGGAAAGAATAATTTCTTACTTTTGTTTTTTTGTTACTTTTGTATATTGGAGTATGTAAGACATCTGTTGAATGTCAGTAGCCAAATACTGTATGTTACATTGTGCATGTAATGCTGAGCAGAAACAAACAGTAAACTAATGAAGTTTTTTTTTTTTTTGAAAAGTGTATCTGTAACAGCAAACCTTATTTTGAAAGATACAGAATGAGATTTTATGAGGTGCTTCAAGGAGTTTGGTTCAAGTGTTAGCCTATCTTATAGAATTAAGCGGTGGTAAAACCATTCATATGGCACAGACAAAGTTCTGAACGCCTTGTGCATGACTTCACACCAAATCTAAACTAGCATTCCTTGCAGCTTCTCCTCATTGCAGCCTGCAATGACCAAGATAGTCATGGAGCAAGGAAGTTTTTTTATTACAGAGCACTCATTGCTCAAAACCAAAACTTTGTAGACATTTCTGATGAACTTTTCATGGGGAAAAGCTTTTTCTTCCCTTTTCCTCCTTTCCTGCTTCAGGGAGAGGGTAAAACTGGTCCAGAAGAGACCTGAATGACACAGGTGAAATCCAAGCTTTCACATCATAACTCTTTGAATACAAGGTCTCTTCCTAGCTATGGAGCTCTACATTTAGACATCTGGCTTGTGTGGTTTTTTTCCACCCAGCATCAGACTTGGACAGCAAACTAGTGTCAACACCTCAAATTTTTTCCATCTATAATGACAGAAATAATGATTCTATGCTTTGTAGATTACAAACCTTTGTGGAGGTTGAATTTTAGCTGGAGGGAGTTTTATGGGGAGAGACCACAGTGAATAAAAGTATGAATATTTTGCTTAATCTGCCAGAAATGAATTTCCTAATTCACTAAATTACTAGACTACCTTTTCCTTGTACATCTGTTCAGGCTGAGCACTGCTGACTAAGTTTTACCTCAATACTAGGGAAGCCTCTGTTCATTGATTTACAGTGATGAGGAGCTCAGCTGGGAGCTTCAGTTCTAAAATATCTTCAGTGAGGCTTCTTTTTTACTTAAGTTTTACAAAAATCATTCACAAATTACATAAAGTTTTGTAAGAACATATTGTCCTGCAGGGCTTGGAGTGCCAGGAACATCTTCATTGACCTAGCCTGTTGTGAGAAGTGTTTTTGAGTACTTGTCTGTATACTCTTTTATACTCCAACTTTGTATGGCCTCTACCTTTGCAGTTTCCCAAGCGCTCCATAGGAAGTAAAGGAGTGAAACAGAAGCCTTTTGTAAGGATAATCACTATAAATTCAAAATAAATAAATGAAGACAGGTGTATCAAAGAGGAACAAAGGTAACACCTTAAAAGCAAATTAAAGCAAATACTTCAGTCTTCTGGAGAGCTTCACACTGTATGATAAAAACCTTTCAGGGCAATAAAAACATTATGATTTATGTAAAAAAAAATACTGAATATAATTATTATAATGCTTTGCCTTCTTTTCAGTCAGTATTTTCTGAAGCACTTTTTCACTGTATTTATATTTCCTTGTATCTTTGAGTTTTACCTTTCCACATAAAATACTGTTTAGAGAATGCTCAGGTTAGTGAGACTCTCTGACCTGCTCTGTCTGAAGGCTGGAAATTGGTTTTGGAGGATGCTGTTTAGTTGATATCAATGGATAATTTGAGAACAGCCAATGCACTTGGAGTGGAGAAATTTGGATTTTGATTGTAGCATGTCTGACCAATGTTTGACAAGTCCTGACCACGAAGGCAAGTTAGGTGCTGTCCTGTTGATTTGAAATTACTGTTTAGATTTATTTTCAAATAATTTCAAGATGTTTATGCTGTGAGATTGTCATTTTAAAGTGATAACCTGACTCTTCTGAAATCCTTAGTAAGAACAGAGCTAAGTTTGCTTACTAAAAGCTTTGGGTTTAGTTTGATTCTGTGTGTTTATGCATACAATGATAAAGACATTTTTTTGTTGTCTTTTAAGTTTTTGTATTTAAGATAATGTAGCCAACATTAATTTTTGCATTATGCAGAATCAAAGCACAAACTGAAACAAAAATGAAGAGAGCTTTCAACTCTGCTTCTCTTTGGGATCATTTGGGTGTTGCCTTTTTCTTGCTGCTGCTTTAGCCTTAAATAAAATGTGTCCCTAGTAAGAACTGACAAATTCTTTCTTCCTAGAAGAAACTGTAAAATCTCCTTAAGCAAACAAAATCAACTTTTGGATTAAGGGTTTTATTTTTTTTTCTTTAATGTTGTTGCTGACACTTTTTCTTGCTTGAAAAGACATTCCTGCGTTGCAAATTGCGTGAGACCAAAGCAGCCCCATTTGCAGATGCATCCTCCTGTGTTATCCAACTGGCTTGAGCATTTAAAAAACTGGAGTACGGTTTAAACTGAAACAAACAAAAAAAACTCCCACCAAATAAAACTCCATCTTCTCAGAGGACTCTTTATTAGAATGCCTGGGCAATTAGAAAGAATTATGTCCATTTACCTATTCTGGAATTTGTGCTTTGTGTTTTCCCAGTGTATATACTTGGG